CAACAGCAACAACAACAACAACAACAACAACAACAACAACAACAACAAAGATAACAACAACAACACACAAATGATGTAGATGCATGAAATGATACACTCTGTCTTTAATTATGGTCCGCGCTGCCTACAAATCAATGGGAAAGGTAGCTATACCTTCTGCCGACACACGGGCGAGAGAGGCGACCATACCCACTGCATTTAACACACACCCACATGTCAGTTATGAAACCCCAACCACACGCCTCTATCGGCGGCCACGTCAGGAGACAGTGATGAGATAATGTTCTCCCGTGCCCTTCTCACATTTAACGACATGCAATTACACAACAAAGTAAATATGTTCTCCCGCGCCGCACATGCCCCTATACGTCACACACAAAAAATAAGTTGATGACGAAAATATACACACCCCGAGACGCGCTTGCTCCGCAAACACGTAAGGGTGCCATAATAGAACACCCGACAAACCGAGTTCCCCTGCATCTTCCGTCTACAACTTCCCAACATAACATGCACGTAGATACACAAGATGGCTACCAAACTGTCTTGTTGAGCCTGTTACCCACAACAGGGGAGATATCGTTGTATGCTGTCTGGGAAACCGTATAGACATATAGATAGGTAGCCTTTCGCTCACGCTATGGATTCATTGCTAATCTATCTTACTTAGACTTATTATTTCTATAGATAGAGATGGATTTATCGTGTGAGATTAAGAAAAAAAATAAATACAACGGCCGATGGAGCAAAGGCCCCGCTGCTGGGAGGGAGTGTTCGTGTCAGGAACAAGGATTGGACCCCCCAACACCACCCTCTTGCTCGCCTGACTACCCTGGACTATTGTAACAACTTGCTCAATCGTCAACCGTCAGTTAATCTTGAACATGTTGAGGAGTTGAAAGCGCCCTTGAGTTAGGGAGAATAGCACACACAGCAGTCAGTCACTGTGCTGAGCTGCTTAGTGTGAGATATTTTGCCCGAGGCTCGTTGCTGCCACGTCCATATTTTTCTCCATGTAGACTAGACTATAGACTTTTTGTGGTCCACAGATTGTCTACAGCAGTAGTACATACTTACTTGCAGCGACTCGTATCCTACAACCAACCCAACATTGACTCTGCTAACAAGCATAGTCGGTAGGTAGTCTGGATTGCAGTGAAAGGTTCTTGGGCCGAACACTGATGATGATGGGCACTGTGGACATTGGCCGTGGTAGTCACAGTGTAGGAAGGTTCTACGGAGATTAGATCTTGGGGACTCCGTGCGTGAAGATATCACAGGGGCCATACCCTGTGTGTGAGGATTGTGTGGACTCTCCGTCTTGTGTTCCACTCCTCCTATCTTGTGATCGATGATATAATACAAGTGAAGAAACAAACATCACCAGCCCCTTGGGGGAAAGGAGTCCTGGTGGCTCGAGGACAACTCCAACTGTCCATAATAAACTTTGATTAAGTTAGTTGGCAGAGGATCGAAGCTCCTCGTGGTGGATTTCTGGAAGCAGTGACAGTTACGCCGATACGACAACAAGCCGTCGAACGAGGACGGGCTTGGTGTGGCGAACACGACGAGACGTTACGAGGACGGGCTTGGTCGAACAGTACTGACTTGCTGGAGCCACACTTGGGCAGCGCTAGGGCGCGATGCCTGCTGGGACGAGATCTCAGGATGCGGTGAGCAATGCGCAGCTCGTGTTGGGTGGAAATGGCCCGACGCCGCCGGAGTATCAACGTCCGTTTTCGCAGAAGAACTCTCTGCGTTTTCATCAAGAGTACTTAGAGTATGAGCGCAAGATTACTCTTAGCAATCTCGGGCAGTCAGTGCAACGACAAGTTCTGAAGCGGACTCAACTGCTGCCCAACAGCGTCCGCGCGACGTTGTCGCGCATCTACTTTCGTAATGCTCACGGCCGAGAACTCGAGGAGGATGATCTTCTCGAGGCCTTGACCAAACATGCTGAGTGTTGGGCCGAGGCCCAAACCGACCCCCATGTTGCCTTTACTGAGGTATCGCGCATCGTGACCATGGGGAAGCAGCCGACCGCAGTGGACCGCATTGACGCAGTGTATGACAAGCTATCGGTGTATTTCGAGAACCCCCGATCTAAGGCACTGTTTTGCGAGGTGAATGGGGCGTTCAAACCGGGCCCAGCACAGGTCATCACTAAACATCTGGTCGCGGGACTTACGCCTCCGGAATTCCGCAAGAAAGTCGACGGTATTCTCGCTATGCGCGAGCGTTGGAAGGAGGATCCGGAGCTCGTCTTCGATTTGATTCGTGAGGCGGCTACGGATTGGCGAACTGTGGAACAGTTTGAACGTGATCGTGGATCACAACGTGGAGCCGCTGAGAAGGCGGCGCCGTCGTCGGCTGCACGTCGGAAGCAGAAGTCGACGCCTGGTCCGTTGACGTGCTGGACGTGTGGCGAGGCCGGTCACCGGTCGGGGGATTGCCCCAAGGGCGGCGCCTCGGCTTTGGGCGCGGATGCTGATTCGCGGGCTTCGCGATCGCACGGATCTGCTGGTTCCGCGAAGGGCTCGGCGGGCCGTCCACGGGGGGCATCCCAAACCCACCGTAAGGGCACCCCCGCTGCTCGCGGAGGCTCGCAGCAGCGGAACTCCGCGTCGTCTACGTCTGCTGGTGCTTCGACACAGAATACGCCTGTGGCGGGTCGTGTTGCGTCGACGTCCGAGGGTGACGCCAAGGAGAGCGGCGATGATCACGGGGTTGTGCCGTCTTCCCCTCTTCCGGAGGACGGTGAGGCTGCGTCCCCCGGTGCAGCACCCGCTGCTACGGCGTGGAGGGGGGTCTCCGCTGGAGGTGAGCATCGACTGCTTCAAGAGGAGTTTGACGCGAATGCACACGACCGGTCATGCCAGGTGGATCTGTCCGTTCCGGGGATGTCGTGCCCCGACGTGTGTCCCGCTGTCGGGATTCTGGATTCTGGTGCTGGTTTGACTGCTATGTCTGCTAGTGTTGCCCAGAAACTGCAGAAGAAGTGCCCTGACGTCTCCGTGGTCGTGAGTACCGACCACCCTCATCAAGTCAAGACGGTCGAGGGGCGACTGGTGACTGTCACCGAGAAAACGTGTCCCGTCCGCATGACCATACACACCCAATGGGGTCCGGTGGTGCTGGACCCGCGTGCCTTCGCTGTTATGCCTGGGACGGACGACGTGGTCATCATTGGGGACCCGACCTTGACAAAGCTGGGTATCGACGTGTACGAGGCGATGGCGCAACATGCACTGAAGGAGCGCGATATGGAGGTGCGGGGTGTTGATACTCCGGGGTTTCACGAGGCTCGCCGTATTTCGGTGAGTGTGGAGGCTTTTACGCAACGTGCCGCACCGGACCCGCCGGACGCGGCGGTGGAGCGCTTGGTGGCTCGTGGCCCGGATATGGTCATGACTCCCGCCGAAGAGGAGGCAGGAAGGGCGGACGCTTTAGACCGGGCAGTGGACTCGGCGGCAGACGCCGGTCTGTCCCCGTGGGGACTTGATCGTCTACGACAGGTCGTCGATCGCCGCTTCAATGTCTTTCGCCGCGGTGTACGAGGAGACCCGCCCGCTAACGTGCCGCCGATGACCGTCAAGCTCAAGACTGGGGCGAAGCCAGTCAAAGCTAGGTTGCGGACGTACAACCCGGACAAGACCAAGTGGTTGACCACTTGCCTGGCTGCCCTCGTGGCGTTGGGATTGGTGTACGTGAACCTGCAGGCGATCTGGGCGAGCGCGATCATGCTTACACCGAAACGTTCCGGGGATAAGGTGACGTATAGGTTTGTAGGTGATTTTCGTGCTGTGAATCGCCAAATCGAGAAAAGCCCTGGACCTATGCCTGATCTGGAAGCTGATATGCAGCGCTTAAGCCGTGCTACGTGTTACGGGAGCCTGGACATGCTTCAAGGGTATTGGGGGATGCCGCTGGCGCCCGAGGCGCAAGAGATTTTCACGATGATCGGGCCAGGAGGTTTGTACTCGCCGGAGCGTGTCCCGCAAGGAGTGCTGAATGCCACCTCCTACTACCAGGGTACGATGAACAGCATCTTGCATGACCTGAATTGTATTGTTTGGGTGGACGACATCGTGTACTGGGGAGAGACCGAGGAAGATTTGCTGAACACGCTTGACCTAATCTTGGCAAGGTTCGAACATCATGGGCTATTTGTGGCTGCCCACAAGTGCACCTTTTATACCACGTCTGTCAAATGGTGTGGGAAGGTATACTCGAAAGGCGTGATCGAACATGACCGGGACCGTCTGAGCGGGTTGGCTAACCTACGTCGTCCTGAGACCGCAGGAGAGCTAATGCAATTTTTGCAGGCTGTCAACTGGCTGCGCACTTCTCTGCCTCGGATGTCGGAGATAGTGGCACCTTTGCGGGAGTTCCTGGAGCTTCACATGGCCGGAAACCCGAATAGAACCAAGCGTGTGGCATCAAACCGAGCGATCGCTCCTGACGCGTGGACACCCGCGATGGTGGAGTCGTGGGAGCGAGCGCAGGACATGGTCGCCAATGCGGTCACATTGTATCATCCGGTGGCAGGGAAAGCGGTTTTGATGTTCCCTGATGCTTCCGACGAACATTGGGGAAGCTTCGTGACTCAGGTGCCACAATCGGAGGTGGACAACAACGTTCCCGTGGAAGACATGAGCCACGAACCGTTGGGTTTCCTGAGTGGTACATTTCGTGGGTCTCAACTGCGGTGGGCTACCGTAGACAAGGAAGGATTCGCAATCATCAGCACGTTCCGGAGGTTGGAATATTTGCTGTGGGGTGGTGTGCATATTCACACCGATCATCGTAACTTGGCATACATATTCGACCCGGAAGCGTGCATCTCAACGGTGCCGAAGACCACGGCGCAGCGTCTAGAGAATTGGAAGGCGGTCCTTGGCCAGTACGACTACACGATTCAGCACATCTCAGGTGAACGCAACTGCTGGGGGGATTTGTTGTCGCGTTGGGTGAATGTACCCGCCGTGAGTAATCGATCCGCGGCGGTCTTCATGCCGAGTACGCCCGACTGTAACCTACCCTCCAAGAACGCTATACGCGAAGTTCAACAGACAGTGCGCGCATCTGTCGGGGATACCAATGCGTGTTTCACGGATACACTCGGTCGTGTTGCACCGGACGATGAAGGTTTATTCCGTGTCATGATTGACGGTCGCAAAGTTCTGTGGATTCCCGATACCGCGCGTGATATGCAGCTACGACTCATGTTGTGTGCGCACATGAAAGAAGCCGGCCACCGCGGTGTTACAGCAACGATGCACCGCTTGCGGGAATACTGCTGCTGGTCTACAATGGACCGCGATGTGAAGGAGTTCGTGCAACAATGCCTGCATTGTATGGATTCTAAATCTGGTGAGATAGTGCCGCGTCCTTTTGGAGAGACGGTTCATGGCAAGCGACCTGGAGAAGTATTACACTTCGACTACCTTCATGTAGGCAAGAGCGGACCGCTCGGCGCGGATGGGCTGGACGAATCTGATGGATATGTATATTTGTTGGTGATGATGGACGATCTTAGCAACTTCGCGTGGATGGAGCCGACTGGTACGTGCACGGCGCGGTTAACGGCGCAACACCTCCTGAATTGGTGTAAAACGCTGGGTGTGCCTGAAGTTTGGGTAAGCGACACCGCCACTCATTTCAAAAACAGCGTAATGGACACCTTGGAGAAAGCGTTGGGTGTTGAGCGACGCTTTACCGTGGCTAACTCGCCCTGGTCGAATGGAACGTGCGAACGTATGATGCGCGAGATAGTACGCACGATGAAAGCCGTTTTGCAGGAACGACGGCGAAATGTGCGGGACTGGGTGGATCTGGTGCCGGCAGTTCAATGGGCGCTAAACACCGCGTATCGTGAGCGGTATGCATCAACACCTTATCATGTCATGTTCGGCCGCGCTCCTCGCACGAGTTTTTCCACCCTGGCGTCGTCGTCTGGGGAAGCCTGGAACATCGACACGCTTGATGCGACCAAGTTGAAACAACAAGTCCAAAATGTGATCCAGACTCAAGCGGTTCTGCACAAACAAGTTCAACAGAAGGTGGATCACAATCGTGCCAGGCAACGTGCGGCGGCAAGTCGCGGTGATTTACCAGCATTTACGGTGGGAGACTATGTGATGGTGGCACGTGTCCGTCGCAGCGGAATCACGCCCAAATTGTCCTCTACTTGGACTGGTCCTTGGCGCGTGGTATCGGCCGCTAAAAAGCACGTTTACGGTGTTCAGAACATCGTTAATGGGCAGGTCCGCGATGTCCATGTGGCTCGTCTGCGGTTCTACGCCGATTCGGAACTGAACGTCACATCCGATCTCAAAGACGTGTTCCAACACTCTTTCGGGCAAGGCGAACATGAAATGGAATCTATTCTCAACATTGGACCAGCTCATGATGGATCGGGATATCTTGTTCGTGTGCGGTGGGCTGGGTTCGAGGAGGACGAAGACACTTGGCAACCACTTTCGGATATTTACCAGGATGCGCCGCAGTTTTTGAAGCAAGAGTTGCGCAAGATGAAGCTATCCAAGGAAGTCAAGGACAACATAAAAAAGGAATATGGTATCGTTTTTTAACGGCCAAATGAGTTGAAGTTGCGTGGAAAAGGGCGAGGAAATCTTACTACCGCAAGATAGCATTGTTCATTTATATGTTTGTCTTGGTTTTTGTAGTTGTTTCTGAAGACGCCATCACACAGTATAATGATGAAATAATTAGTAACACGAAATCAGGCGAATATGGTGTTTAGTGTAAACAAACGCGTTAGGATTGAATAAAATTTTAGCGTGTGATTATGTGGTTTCGCATCATTTAGTATGTGCCTACCATTGTTTTGTCAAGCACATAGTGTCTACGATTGGAATGTAGTATGCGCTTTGGGGGCATTGTGGACATTGGCCGTGGTAGTCACAGTGTAGGAAGGTTCTACGGAGATCTTGGGGACTCCGTGTGTGAAGATATCACAGGGGCCATACCCTGTGTGTGAGGATTGTGTGGACTCTCCGTCTTGTGTTCCACTCCTCCTATCTTGTGATCGATGATATAATACAAGTGAAGAAACAAACATCACCAGCCCCTTGGGGGAAAGGAGTCCTGGTGGCTCGAGGACAACTCCAACTGTCCATAGAGTGAAAGGAGGTTCGTGTGCTGTAACGATAGCATGCACGATAACCCCTCTCTATCTTTAGTACGGATTTGTATAAATTGCCGTGATTTTTATTCATTTTTTGCGATAGTGATATGTACCATAGGGTCGATTTGCTGTCTGCTGCCGTTGCTTGATACCAACTGGTGCTAAGCACAAAAACATTTGCACTGCTGTAACGCACATTAGACTACAATACATTCCCTGTGCAGTTCTCTACTGGGTCAATTGCCTGAGGCCGGTCTCACTGAACCTGCCTGAGGCACGCCTTCGACATGCCTGTGAGTGGTCAGGGCGTCAGGGTTTACAGAATCAACGAACCAGAGCTTGGTAATCGCCCGGTGGTCTAGTTGGTAACCTCGAAACCTTCTGGAGGTCAGGTCATGGGTTTGAATCCCGGCGTAAGCGAGCTTTTCTTGCAAAGTGAGTTTCTCTCTCGCTTCCGCTCCTGGTCTAGTGGATAGCGCTAGTTCGTGTGTACACAGAGGGAAGAGAGTGCTCAACTCTTCCCGCATGGAAAATCGAAGGCAAAGTACCGCAGGAGGTGAGGGTAGAGAGGGGCTCGTCTGTGTGACCACGGGTTGGAGTAAACGGCACTACACTAGTAACAACATATTCGCCTGATTGAGAGCGTAGCATCTGATTGAGAGCGAGATTGCGCGATACGCTGTAGCCGGACTACCACTGAGAGGTGGAGCTTGTTGTGTAGCTTGAATTGAAGGGCTAGCCCGTAGCTTCAAGCCGCTACCCTGGTCATCCTGTGGGAGTCTCTCGTTGTGGAGCTACAGCGGGGAGCAGAAGCTACAGCAGAGCCCACCGCCCGACGCGATACCGCCCTGAAACAGTTTGAGCAGAAATAGCCAATCTGGGCAAATCTAGCAACTTGTCTAGCTCCTCGCTGCAGCATCCGATGACGATGACACGCATATGCTCGCGAAGCTGCTGATGAGACCTTCAATTTGCACCGCTTCTTGGAATAGCCCGTCCCCTACTTGCCAAGAAATGGCAAGAGGCGTCTGGACCCGAAATTTCAATTTTTTTGGCTCTCGCTCTCAATCAGATACTTCGCTCTCAATCAGGCGAATATGTTGTTTTAGTGCTGTGAGCGCTGATTTGACGTGAAGACGAAAAAAAAAATCGGAACTGGTTCTTCTCCGGTCGACGAACCGGCATATTCTGTACTCTTGGCACTTTGCACCAGCTGTCGTCACTCTTTGACTCTCTGACTCAATCTCGCAGGCACGTCCGCACTCCTGTGCGTATTGGTCAACAGCGGTTTTGACTACCGAAGGTGAGACGGGTTGGGACTGAGGCAGCAACCTCAGAAGGGGATTGGCCTATCTACAATGAAAATGTGTCCTTTGACGAACGCAGCTTTAAACTTACCACCTTAGCCGTGGAAAGCTTTGGCCGCCTTGGAGAGGAGGGTTACGAGTTCATCGATGAACTTGCGACACATGCCGTGGGAGGAAGGGACGGAGGAACGATGGCTCTGAAAGGAGTCTTCAAGGAACGACTTCTTCAGATCGTTTCGGTGGCTACACAGGTGGCCATATCTCGGCGAGTGCAGAGGTACAAGCTCGCATTGCGCGGGCGTCAAGACGCCGAAAACAGGCGAACAAGATCGACCTCGGACCAGTCAACGCCAATGATATGTGGATGGAGTGTAGACGCATCGTAGAACGCGTTTTCGTTTGAAGTTGGCGTCTTGTTTGAGAGTAGATGTGACAGATTTGCGTAGAATAGGGTAAGATGTTATCATGAACGGAGATGAAAGGGCTTTTCCAACACGGAGATGTAGCATGGATCAAAGCTTTTGTTGGATTTCAGCTTTTACAAGCGGACATCAACGCAGTAGTATTTTAGCAAGCTTACGAACGCATATAGGATACCATCAGGATTGTCATTGGTAAGTTGAAGAGGAGATACTTTTACGATGTAAATGACAGTAGAAATAAGTCCTACATATGTTGTTGTACTTCGTATTGGTTTAATATTCATGTAGAGTATGAGACATTAAGTGAAAGTTTTCTGAGGTACATGTGCAATTGTCGGAAGGCAAAAAATATATATATATATATATGAAAATTGATCTTGTGCCAACGAGAAGAACGGTGGTGTTGGCAACATGTCTTCGAGGGCTTGCCTTTGACATATCGGGCTCTTTCCGCACCAACTTGGTTGTGGAGCATCAAACTTTGAAATTCGGTGTAAGGGGGGGTACCATCTCTCCGCCTCTTACGGTAAATAACTTCCTGTGGTGGCTGGGTACTCGTAGGTGACGTAATATAGACTACCACACCCTCCACAGAAGAAATAGTGGCTGTGCCGAAAATGGTGGCGTTAGAGCCGTCTCGTCGACAGGTTTCCGAAAACGTATTGTTTGATCTATATCCTCTTCGTTGTGCTACAAGCAGTTGTCTATCCGTGATGTCGAGCTTTGAAAAATGGTCCAGGGGGTATGGTATCTTATGTCACCGTAACCTGCCACCTGCCACGTCCATGATATTCAGTCGCTGGTACATCCACGGGCGGCCAGCGAGGCGGCGGGTGTGGCACGTCGGAGGGTTGAAACAATCTGTCTCTGTGTGCTGCCAGCCTGCCTTGTTGTTTGGATCAACAATGCTGTGGATATTCGGCGATGGGGGGCAACTGCACGCTGGCGTGTGAGGTTGCGGCCAGGTTGCAGTTCGTGCTCCCCCATCCTGATGTGTAACCCGTGTACCGTATGCATAGTGCATCTATAGTCTAGTAGACACACTACACGCCGAATGCGGTAGGTTGGCGTTGTTTGCGGCCTACGCCACTTATTTATCGGGTGAGACTGTTTTGGTGATGTA